TGATCATGAATAGAGAGGAAGTAAGGGGTTCGAAAGAAGCATTCGTCGCCTCTTTCAAGGTACTGTTTGGAATTCCACTGGACAGACTGAAGAAAATCACAAGAAAAAACCTCAGCCTTCGGAGCCGGTACCTCCTTAACACAACCGCTACACCAGCCTGCTATAAACTTGGGAGCCGGGGGAGGGGAAGGAAAAGGCCTCTGCGCCTTAATGAGTAACCATTCGCAGTTTCCCTTAAGGGAGACTTTCATAGGAGGGAGGTCACGATTCAGATCGATTCCAGAATGACTCACGTGGCCTACGTGCTGGCATTTCCCTTGATGTCAGAGCTCACAGCCCTTCTTCCGTATTATGCGGAGGTCTTTGTGCCTTCATCATAACCTGATGCCCCAACTATTTTACTTTCCAACTACTGACAGTAAAGTGGATAATACCATCTGCCTTATTATTCAAGAACTGTGCAGTGTGCTCGCACTGTGCAATAATGTGCTCCAATATAATTCTCAAAACACGCAGAGATTATGTTGTGTTTTTTTGGGGGGAGGGGGGCAACAAAACCCATTTTCATATAAAACCAATCCAGTATCACTGTACTAACAATGGTCTTATTTTAGCGTCTGCAACATGTTTCGACCCATGTTTGGATCATCGTCAGGCAGTTTCTTAAATATGTTGCTAGTTATTGATTTCTATGACTTCGAAATACTTGTTGATATTTTCTATTACAGTTAACATTAGGGCTAAAAGTATTTAAATCAGAATCTGTGTCTCGTCCATACGCTGTGGGGTTGCGTCATACTTGTCATATATTAGAGAGTGATAATGTCTTCTGGGATTCGTTGTTAGAGCCGCTCATGGCAGCCGAGGGGTCTAAGGCATGTACTGTCTTCGCTCGCTAGGAAGCCTGGATCGTCGGTTCGAACCCCACACAAGGCATGGATGTTTGGTATGTGTATGTTTATTCTGTGTTAATGTTGCCCTGTGTTGAGGTAGAGGCCTTACGACTAGCTGATCACCCTTCCAAGAGGTCTTACCGTCTGTAAAAATGAACAATGAAACTGATAAATCAGCCCTATGCTCCAAAGTTGGAGCGAAGAGGAAGAAAACAATTATTGTTACTTGTTCTATATGTATTTCTTCCTGGTTTTCCTAAGTCGTATCGTGACTAGTGTTATATTCTCTTTGGAGTGTGTGTTTATAGGCCTCTTTTGTGTGGTTGTCTTTTTTTCCTACTACTGTATGTTGTTCCTGTTTTTAGGTTCTGTTATGATCCAAACATTGATCGAAAAATATAGCAGATGTTAAAATAAAACCAATGTTAGTACGGGGATACTGGATTGGTTTTGTTTAAAAATTTGCTGTGCTGACTGCCAAGAAACCCACATTGTAATGCATAACAGGATGCAGACAATAAAAAGCGATTATTTTCTTAAACACCACTAACTAGCCGGTCTTTACAATCTTGACAAAATGAATTTGTTACGAAGTAATTAATTTATAAATATTATTTAGATGAAATTCATATTTCAAAGAATTAATCAACTGCTCATATTTCGCGTATCGGAAAATCATCAGTCATTACTTCAGTTAAAATAAACGATACTAACGTGGAGGCAGAAAATAAGATGATAAACTATTAGGGCCGTTCAATATATACAGGGTGTAACTGAAAGGTGGGGACACATTTTGGGCACGAGTTCCACATACGAAAACAAGTAAAAATGTTCATATCAGCGTGTGTCGGGACATATTTGATTGATGAGTTACAGCTGAAAGAGCACATTCATAATAAGTGTTCAGAATGTCGTCCATGAGATTCAATGCACGCCTCAACACGTCTCATCATGGACCGTCGTACCCATTCAAAGATTCCGGGGCAGTTGCGGATAGTCTGAAAGGCATCCACAATGCGATGAAGTGCCTCTATGCTGTCAAAAAGAGCTACATTTATAAAAGGTTTTAGGTGTCCCCACAGGTAAAAATCAAGAGTATTCAAGTCCGGAGAGCGTGGAAGCCACGCAGTGGGTCCTCCTCTACCTGTCCATCTGTCACGATACGTGTTACTGATAACATCTCGCGCAGCACGGCTAAAATGTAGCAGCAGTAGGTATTTTCACAAATACTGTTAGAATTTTCAATTAGAACTCCCCATAATCATCTTCTTCATATATATCGTTAAGGACTTCGAAAACAAGGCGATCCCTCTTTTCCAAGAAACAGTATTTGCAAAAAGAAAACTCACTTTGTACTCGCTCTAATACGGTAATTTAGAAAAGGTACAACTCACAGGTAGAGGCCTTGCGACGAGCTGATCACCCGCCCAAGGAATTCAACCGTATGTCTAAGATCTAGAAAAACCGAAGTGAACGGAGAAGTTCATGGAGGTAGGCCTAGGCCCACTGGGGCTGTAGTGCCAAGGGGGGGGGGAGAAGGTACAACTTTAATTTTACTATCGACCTGTATGTAATCACATTTTATGTTTTTGTCCAGGTTTGTTGGGAAACGTGGTGTCCGGCGTGGTTTTCCTCAACACGCATCTCAGGATGAGGAGTTCCAGCTACTACCTAGCAGCTTTATCAGCCACGGATTTCAGTTTCTTGCTCATGCTGCTCCTTGTATGGCTGAACAGCAATGCCGGAGTACAGGTGTTCAACAAGAACGGATGGTGTCAAGTGCTGGTCTACATCAGCTCTGTATGCGGGTTTCTCAGCTCTTGGCTCATCGTAGCCTTCACCGTTGAACGCTTCATAGCCGTGCAATACCCACTGCATCGGCCGCGCATGTGCACAGTGGCACGCGCTAAAGCTATCGTGTGTTGTCTAGTAGTATTCGCACTAATATTACATTCGTACTCCTTTGTAACTGCGGGGTTAGTGAAACAATACGACGGCTCAGAGGTGTGTCACATGTTGGAGGATTATAGGGAGACCATGAGGATCATGAATATTGTGGACTGCTTGGTGTCACTTATTATACCACTCATTTTGATCACATCAATGAACTCTATGATCGGTAGGAATTTTTTGAAGTTCAGAAGGCACTTCAAGCAGAATCCAGAAATACGGACGTCCATGGAAGGATTGGGCATGGAGAGATCGGATATCAACCTCCAACATATTCACGTAAGTAACAATATTTAAGGTTGGTCTAGAGGTAAACACAGAGAAAACTAAGTATATGCTGACGTCTCGTCACCAAAATGCAGGGTACAATCATGGCATACAGAGAGCTAACAGATGTTTTGAAAATGTGGCACAGTTCAGATATTTGGGAAGGACTGTAACAAATCAAAACCTGATTCAGGAGGGAATTGAGAGGAGATTAAATTCGGGTAATGTTTGCTACCATTCAGTCCAGAACCTTTTGTCTTCTCATCAGCTGTCTAAAAACTTAAATATTAGGATATACAAGACTATTATTTTGCCTGTGGTTCTGTATGGGTGTGAAACTTGGTCTCTGACATTAAGGGAGGAACAATGACTGAGGGTGTTTGAGAACATTTGCACCGAAGAGAGATGAAGTGATGGGAGGTTGGAGGAAACTGCATAACGAGGAGCTTCATAACTTGTACTCTTCTCCAAGTATAATTAGAATGATAAAGTCAAGGAGGATGAGGTGGGTAGGGCATATAGCATGAATGGTTGTGAAGAGGAATGCATATAGGATATTGGTGGGAAAGCCACAACTTCCCAGAATTTTATGGAACCCGAAGGTTCATTACGGTGTTCACAAGAGCCCTCCAATAGTCCCTATCCTGAGCCAGATCGATCCAGTCCACACCATCCCATCCTATCTCTCTAAGATTCATTTCAATATTGCCCACCCACCTAAATTTTGGTCTTTCTAGTGGCCTCTTTCCTTCTAGCTCTCCCACCAACATCTTATATGGATTCCTCTGCTTCCCATTTATGCAACACACCTTCTCCATCTCATTCTCCTTGACTTGATCATTCTAATTACACTTGGCGAAGAGTACAAGTTATGAAGCTCCTCATTATGCAGTTTTCTCCAACCTCCTGTCATTTCATATCTCTTCAGTCAAAATATTCTCCTCAACACCCTGTTCTCAAACACCATCAGTCTAAGTTTCACACCCATACAGAACCGCAGGCAAAATTATACTTCTCTATATTGTTTTTAGACAGCAGACGAGAAGACAAAAGGTTTTGGACTAATTAGTAGCTAGCGTTACCCGAATTCAACCTGCTCTTAATTTCGTCCTGAATCAAGTTTTGATTTATTAGTGTCGTTCCCAATTATTTTTACTGTACCACATTTTCAAGCGGCCTGTTAACTATCTTTATATGCATTCTGGTGACGATGCAGCCACGACACTAGTACTAGCGTAGGATTTCAATATATACTTAAATTTCTGTGCGTTCACTTTTAGACCAACCTCCTTACTAGCGTCAATTAGAGCTTCTGTATTCTTATTTATGGTATATATGATACCCACTAATAGATTTACAACACCCTTTTCTGATCTGTATAACGTATTATCTCTACGGCACGCGATATATAAATTTCTATCAGGTGGCCAATCATGCATCCATTTCGAATATCACTGCTGAAATTCCTGTTTTCAACTTATACTCGTACATTTGTTGATTTATAGGACCTAGGGCATATATGTTTTAGGGAGTACTGTATTTTAAATTACGCACTACTCGCCATAGTTCAATGCAGTCCCACATATAGGCTATTTGTGCCACAATTTTCTTAATTTATTAACTGATATCAGTTAACTAAATACCTCTATTACACTGTTAAACATGGGTTTTGTTAGACATAAGTTTTGCTGATCTATGTGTATTTCTTACGCCTATTACGAGAAACTGTTGAGAAACTTATCAATATCTACAAATTCATGAGATGAAAAATGAAATTATAAATTGATATTTTTTGACTCACCAGAAAATATCCAGGATGTAGATGTGATACCAGGGCGTGTGGAGTCCCGGTACGTTTGTTGATTACCGCTAGACATTGGTATATACTACCCCAGAGCTGAAACACACACGCAATCCATCAGTATCTGCGTTTCAGGCCGGCTCGATGTGCAATTTCTACAATTATATTGCTTTCATGTTTTTATATTAGTCTAAATTTCATTTGCGAGTCACTGAGAATTGGTNTACAATTATATTGTTTTCATGTTTTTATTGATATATAATACCCCAGAGCTGAAACATACACGAAGTCCATCAGTATCTGTGTTTCAGGCCGGCTCGATGTGCAATTTCTACAATTATATTGCTTTCATGTTTTTATATTAATCTAAATTTCATTTGCGAGTCACTGAGAATTTGTGGGTGATATTTCCAGATAAATTTCGACTGCAGGGATGAAAACCCCATCACTTCTAACTGTTCTCTTATAATGTTGGGGGGCAAATCTTATTAATTGTCTAGTGTATTGTCTTGAAATTAACCGAAATTCGAGGACTTCCGTCTTCTGATATGTGACGTCGTTTAGTCCCGTAGAAGTTCAAATACGTTTCGGAGGAAACCAGCACATTCAGGACTGAAAGGTAAACCGAGCAGGCAGACAGCAACAAGCAGGCCGCAACATCCCGTCATGAGGCCATACCACATGAAGCAATCTACTTCACAACTCTTCTACACCCATATTCTGAACAACAGCAAATGCCTTGTATGGGGGTTCAATCTACTGAAATGAATCCAACTACTAAGAGTAACATAAGGGAATTATTGCCAATTTTCCAGAGCTGATGTCCCAGCGTTCCACGATCCAAGACCTTAGACGCCTTACATCTTGTGATTTAAGATCTGCATTAGACTCACTGGGGCCCAGGAGAGATTCTAATGTCAGGCGTATTACTGATGACGACACTATCAGACATAGTGTGACGTACAGACCCATTGCTAAGCAGTGACTTGGTAAACACGTTCCACGGGAGCCAACGCGCGCAATAGTAGGACACCCATTGCTAGGCAATGGATCAGTAAACACGCCTAAAATAATACGGGACAATAGAAGATTGTGTTTTCCGTGGAGTCCGCCCCGAGGCTATATGATGAGAAATGCCAAGGGAAGAGTTATTTGTCAGAAGTGGAGAGAGTTCAGGTGAAGAAGAGTTCAACTGAATTGTTGTCTAGAAATGGGTCGAGTTCTGGAGATGCCAGTCTTTGATGATTGAGAAGGAATGGTAAGAAATGGGTTAGTCTGTGACAAGACGACTTCATAAGTGAGTTAAAGTGACAAACTGTGATACATCCGTTGCCAGGATACGACTAGTGAAGACTGAGAATTCTAGTGCGTGCGTAACAGTGAACTGCAGTCTTTGCCAGTCTTTGATGATTGAGAAGGAATGGCAAGAAATGGGTTAGTCTGTGACAAGACGACTTCATATGTGAGTTAAAGTGACAAACCGTGATAAATCCGTTGCCAGGACACGACTAGTGAAGACTGAGAATTCTAGTGCGTGCGTAACAGTGAACTGCAAAGTGTGCAGACCAGCGATAGCGCTATATTGCCTGTAATATCAAATTGTGAATGTACAAGGTGTCAATAAATCCAATGATCCAATCCAAAACCCGTTTTATAAATCAAGAACAAACCCCTACACGTGACAATACTTAACACGTAGCCGGAGCTCATGCTTATAATTCTACGATAAAACGAAAGTAACGATATAACCCATAAATTCTTGCCAAAGTTCCTACCGCCATGAAACTCTCCGTTTCACTTCAGTTTGCTAGATCTTAGACATTCGGTAGGGCCCCTTGGGCGGGTGATCAGATTGTTGCAAGGCCTGTACCTGTATACAAACACAGAAAAACGAGCGCGCGCGCGTGCACACACACACAAACACTGAACATCTATACCCTGAATGGGATTCGAAATCGCGATCCCGGTTTCCGAGCGAAAGAAGACAGTGCATGCCTTAGACCGCTAGGCTACCGTCACCGGCCACCTGTACCTTTATTTGTTTCTAATATTAAAGTAAGGCAAAAGTATCCCTATAACAGGCCGTAGAGGCCCATAGGCTCGTGAGATGTAGAGGCTCCAAAACTGTCTCTAGGCAATCAGCTGACAGATGGCGGCGAGGATGTCAGCCTTGCGCCGGCCGGTCTTTACCCCCATAAATATTCCTGGTACTCATTTCTGTTAGAGGCTCAGTCGACCCTAGGGCCATAGTGCGGCTGAAAGGATAAGGTAAATTGAAAAACAATCACCTCATCGGGATTCGGCCCCGTGACCTTTCGGCTTGTAGCACAGTGCCTCAATCAACTATGCTACCGTGTGTTCCCATAATAGTATAGTAGTAAATTCTTTTTTATTGCAAACCAAAGAACTATGTGATGTGTTGACATAAAGAGATGCATCTTCCTTTGAAAGCTCTTTTCCTTTCAGAAAATAAGGCAGAATAAATTCTCTAGCTCAGAAGTAAACAGACATTATTTCAAAATTTGATGATTTTTTAGAACTTATAATAAAATCTTCTAAAGGAATATATTTAGTGGCAAAAACAGTAATTTCTTTCACTGAAATATGCAATAGAGGAGATGAATATCAGTCGAAACTGTCTCTTGAATAAAGATAAACACCGGCAGTTTAGACGGTCCCCTGCAAAACGTAACATATTTTAAAGTACGACTATTCACATATAAGGCACGTAATTATAGGGTAACTATGTTCAGAAAATACATGACTTGGAAGACAATGTCTGTTCCACATATTCAGCAGTTTTCTGATTAATATTCGAAGCCAGAAGGCATATAGTCAGACATGTCTTTCGGCAAGATTTTACAGAAACTTCGGCATGATCTTACAGAAACTTCGGCATAGAACTAGAATTTACACATAACACGTTCCTTTATGAAGTAATTCAGTTAAGGAAGTTTTGAACAGAAAATAATTTAATTAGTTACACGTCCTCTACATCCATAATGCAACACATGAAACAAGTAGTGCAGGAAATATTGTAAAAAATATAGCTACTGCTGTAACAGGCCATGGAGGCCCAAGGAGCTGTGAGACGTCGAGACTCCTGCATTTTATATACAATCATATAACAGATGGCAGTGAGATGTCAGCCTTACGCGCCGGCCGCCTTTTACTCCCAGGAAGATTCCTGGTACTCATTTCTGTTAGAGGC